GAAAGAGTGAGGAAAAATGGGTTTCCTCTCAAGAATTTGTGACCAAGGAGAGTTATTTTATCAACTAACAAGCATTGAAACGTAATCTCTTTGTTCATAAAAGTCTTAACTCTCATCCTAATGCTGCCACTAATCTTGAAGCTGAGAATAAGGAAAAACACAATTTTCAAACAAAGAATTTTCAACTTCAAGATATAGTGAAGAAGGAGTGGACTAGTTCTAGTTGTACTTCTTATACTACTTCTTTGAAGGTGCACAAGGAAGAAAGTATTTCTGTAGTCTTAATAAAGCACCCAATTTTTAGGTTACATTGTTTAGTGGATACAACTTGTAGTGATTTATATTCTATGTTTGCTCCTATGGGAAGTTCTTATTCCTTTGAATTTAACTTGATTCCTTCCCTACAAGACAAATATAGTTTATATGATTATGAGTATCTAATAAACAATCAAGTCCAAAATTGTTTAGGAAGTTTTCTAGTAGTCTTTTCTTTATATTTTAGGAAATGCCTAGGTTACCATTTACGGTACTTTAGGCAAGATGTTTTAGTCTGTAAAAATCATTCTTTCAATGGAATTAGTCTTAGTGTTATTACATTTTTAGGATTTCACTCTAGTTTATGCTTAGAAGAGGATCCTATCTTTACCTTTAGGGAGTTTAATTTCAATAATTTAGTTTTCTTTGTTAGGCTCGATAGAAGGATTCCTCTTAGGATCCACATTCCCTTTTCTTCCCATGAATATTTCACCTCTTATACATGGTATGTTGTGCATGTAGGTAATGATTTTTCTTCCATGGATCCTCGTGATTTGAGGACAAATCCTTTTCAAGAGAGAGGGGATGATGGAATCATGCCTAGGAAGGCAAGGGGTGACACATTAAAGGAACCAAGAGGAATGAGCTAGACATGAAGGTTTAGGCCAGTCAAGGCCCAATGGGCCCGATGGGCTTGGAAGGCCCAAGTTGAGCTTCTCATGGGCCATATCTTGTTTTAGCTATTTTCCTTATATCTTGTATATATCATGTTAGCATAGGTTTCCTATATTTTGAGTCTTGTATTTTGACCATTTAGGATAGCATTTTAGGCTATAGGTTTATTGGGCCTAGTTTTGGGCTTCATGAGCTTTTGGGCTTTTGGTATCCAATATTGGGCTCATTTTCATTCTTGTAATTTTTTCTTTCAATTGTATTTGTTTGGCCATTGTATTTAGACCATTAGAATATGAATTTAGAAGGAATAAGTATTAAAGCATGAATCATAGAATGTTAATTACATTTAAGAGTAATTAGAGTTTCATTTGGGTCACATGTTTTGTGCCAAAGGTGGTTGCACATGTGTACATTCAAATGAACCCTAAATTACTTCTAAATACAATTAAGAATCTAGAAGGAAAGGCTGCACATGGGTTAGGATAAGTGGACGTCCAATTTAAATTCAAATTTGAATTTGAATTTAAAATTGGCGCCACTCTTAGTGCACATGGGTGGCTCCTTGATCCGTGACTTTATATGTTTGCATCCTTCAATATTGTAGACACTTTTGAATGAATAGAGAATTTTCTGAAAATGACTTCAGCTACTCTCTCTCTCTCAAAGGTCACCGAAACTCACCTAGAGCTAGGAGAATCCACACCTCTTCCTACACTTGAAAGTGGGTTTTCTTTTGGTTCTTGAGCTTGGATGCTTCCCTCCATAGCTTAGGAATCTCCTCCTTTCGAATCACTCTTCTTCTTTGATCATCCATTCGGCGGAAGCCTCAAGGATAAGGTCATTGTTTCCGGAGAAGGTCACAAGAAGCAAGAATTCATCCATTGCTTTAACCAACTCCATTATATTCTTGGAGGAATTTGACGACTTTGAGGAAAAAAGAAACGTAGTTGCTTGATTTAGTACAAAAGCTAAATTTGAATTATAACTCCACATTTTTTCTTATAATACATACATATCCTTGTGGTGATATACAACTAGTGACAGCTAAATATATCATTAGTAAAGCAGCTCTATTTTCTATGCGAGCAAGCTCCACATGGTGATGTACATTTTTCTTACAATATGTACATCATATGTACAACCAGTGACTCGACATCACTAGTAAAGCGACACTATTTTTGTTTTTTGCATGCAAGCTCCACATAGTTCATGGAGATTACGCAAGACAGCTTGTGGAGGCTTGATAGGTATCATCCACTTGAGTTGTTGCCAGTGGCACATAAACTGCATCTTTCAGTGTGCTATGGGTTCGGCCATAAAATACATAAACAATAACTCCTATTGCCAGCCATATAGAAACACGTGCCCAAGTAGAAGCCCTGAAAGAGTAACACAAAAATAGGTAAGGTTGTGCAATCAAGTAACAACCCTACACATGGCAATGTTAAAAGGTTATATAATACATAGATCATAAAAAAATTTATTTTATTTTTCCTTATTATTTTTCTTCTAGAAGTTGTTTCGAAGAAGTTTACCTAGAGATTTCCATGATAATTACAAACCAATAACGATTAAGGAACCAAATTGATCTCATTTTTTTCATTAATATTGAAAAGTTAAAGTATTCTAATTTATCTTGTCAACCAAATTAATGTCAACTCAATTTTCTAGGATTAACTAATACTTATAAATAATTTGAAGGGAAATTTCGGTGTATTTCCAGAATTGAATATAAATACTTACCCAAGATTAATAAGTAAATAGGAATTGATAAGAATGCAAGCCACGGGCAGCAGGGGAACAAATGGGCAAGTGAAACCTGAAAACGGATCAAACTAAGTTATATTTTACATCAAAACTCATTAATATTTTATAAATTAGACCAATCATCAAATTGGTCAAGCTATTAGATCAATGGATCAATGATTAAATCAAAAGATCACTTATTAAACCGTATGAATCAGTTTTAATTAATTTTTTAAAAATATATTCATGTTATATATATATATATATATATATTATTATAAGTTTTAATAAAATTTATGTCATACTTTAAAGAAGCCTTCAACATAAACTGTAGTCAATATAATATATTTATAAAATAACTAAATTATAAATTGATTAAATCACTTATATTAATATATAATTTTAAATTAAAAAAATACTATATAAATTATTTTAAATAAATTATATAATAATAAAACATGTTGACTAAGTACTCATTAAAGTATTAAATAAATATATTTATTAATAAATTAATACATAACTAAATATATAATTTTACAAAACAGATAGAGTATTAATATTATTCAACTTATGCATTTAACAAGTAAATCCTATTAGTTTAGTGGTAAGGAAGCTGTCACCCTATGCCCAATACCAAGAATCAAATCTCATTGAAAACAAAATGGGCAATTTTAACCGAATTTTCAGGTGAAAATTTTGAGTTGTTTGTGGATCGGTTTAAAAACAACACTCACTCAGTTCAACTACCTAACTAGCCGGTTTTTACCCATTTTAAAATGGGTCAATTGCAAAAATATCCAATAAAAAAGTCCTGGAAAACATTTCTAATCTTTTATCTAAACCGATTCTTATTCCGATAGTAACTTTGGTGTAAATCATCCTATCATCTTATTCTACTGTATTTGTGGTCAACCTATTTTCATAATTTGTTTTACATACACTCAATATAAGACTTTTAAAGATCATGTGACATGTGACATCCATTAGTCTTAAAAGACTAAATGCGTGTTTGCTTCAGCTTTTAGACGGGAAAATTCACGTTTGTGGGAAGCAAAAAATTGAAACTTTCACGTAAATTTATTTGTAAACGTGGAGAGAGAAAGAAAAATTACGTTTATAAATCGAAACCAAACACGCACTAAGACACTCACTCACACAGGCCATGTAAGTTTGTTACTGTAAGATAATAATTCTAAACCATACCTCCAGAGTGCCCAAAGTTGTGTCTGGCATCATCTTGATCCATACAGTTCAGGAAGACAAAACCACATAGAAGAAGAGTGCCACCAACTCCACATAATGCAAAGCGAACAGAACTGGTAATGCCAAACATAAAAGAAAACCTAAATGGCATAACAAGAATTGATAAAGTGCATAAATTTAATGTAGCAGAACCATCCCCTGCCCCAGGGATAAGGCCAACTCTCCATATAGTAGACTCATTAACATTTCAAATCAGCTTATAAAGTATTTAGGCTTTTGAGCATGTACATTCATTCATACATTATCATTCTATATGCAAATTGTTGTGCTGGCTAGGTTCAATTTCCTCACCGTATATATGGAAGAAAAAAAATACTTAGTCAAGAGAGGAAGAAATCATTTCAGTAATTTCTATATTTCGAAATAAATTAGTTTCAAACGATATTCTTTGTTTCATATATAAAAAATAAAAAAGAAAATCATTGTATATGCAACTTGAAAACTGAACTCTACCACTAAACCAACCTGAGAATAGTTTTATTTGAAGCTGCAAATGTGAGGACTAAAACCCCTAAGCATGTCAATGCTATTACCCACCCAATAACTTTTCTCCTATTACCCTCGTGTACATCTGCACCACAAACAAATAGGAGTGAGGAGAAAAATTAGCAGATGTCAAATGATATAAGGAAAGGCAAAAAAAAAACAAAAAACTATAATGGCAGCCTTTTGATGTAAGTTACTTAAGCAACATTGATCTCATATTGTTAGATTTTATCTTAAATCACATATATAAGTTGCATTTCAAGAATTGAGACAGGCAATATAGAACCTTCCAACATCCTCCCCCTTCCACAAATGCCTGCCAGAACAAGCAAGCCTACCAGAATAGGAGATTTACAAAGATGGACTATAAACTTTAATATCATGTTAGATTTTATCTTAAAATTAATTGTTATTAAGTAAAATTACGCAATAGATATATAAATTGAATCCCGAGAATTGAGAGAGGAGATGCAGCACCTTCAACACATATATCGAGCAATATATTGAATTTATGTATGATAGATAGATAGTGCTAGACAGAAAAGGTAAATCATAACTCACATTTGCCTATGACAGGATCTTCAGCAATGAGGGGATAATCAATTGATTCATCTTCTTTAACAATTACAGGTTTCTCGCTCCAAGAAGCACCAACATTTGCCTTTGTATCTTCTTCATTTGCCTCCAAATTGCTCCAGATATATTGCCTTGAGGTTGAAACAATTGGTTCCTGGAGAGAAGGGGGCAATGGAACCTCATCTGGTGGGATATATCTTAGTATTAACACAGATATTGCCACCATTGTGAATGCAAGAAGTGTACCCACACTGACCTACAGGTAACAGGAGACAATCTAAATACACATCAGTACTATACAAAAAAGTTAGGAACATCCTTTTGCATTTGAGAATTAAAGATGATACAAGGCATATCCATGCACACCTCAGAAATGCTTTTTAATGATTTCTGAAGGGCAGGGGAACAGAAAGAAAAAAAGGGGGGAAAAAAAAATGTCTGGACAAGGACAATGGCTTCATCAAATTGGTTTCATTGTTCTAGACAAATTATGATTACATAAAGATTATAGTTCTAATGAAAATTCTAGCATTATGTTTTATTTTGAAAGATGAGAGTACTAAATAATAATCTTTTAAGTTATATATAAAAATAATTGATAATTGAGATTATAAAATAATTAAATACACTTATATTATTATTATTGTCATCCCTACAACTACTACTATCACAATCATTTGCCGTCGTCATGATTATCACTGTTGTTGCTGTTGCCACCATTATTATTATCATCGTCGTCGTCATCACATGACAGTGACAATAATGATGGTCGACAGCAACAATGGTAACAATGATAATAACAATAATAATGATTTTATAAATGAATGATTATAATTAAGTTTTAATCTCAACTATCAATTATTTTTATTTATAATCTAATGTTTATTATTTTTCCTTCTCTTCTTTCATAATAAAACATGTTTTTATTAGATCCTCTTCATGTATATGTGTAATCTTATGTAAACATGCTCTCATTGGACTATTTTTTGTGTAAAAATGAGAAGAGTAAATATGAATAGTACAACCATATATGAATGAAAAAGATTTAAGAAATTCTTTAGATTTTTTATTTTTAAAAAAAATCACATGACTTGTTTGTTTTAATCCTCATCATTAATTCATTAATGGTAAGATCTAACGATGAATATTTTTTTTCTTTCTCAAATCAATATAGATATTATTCTTAAATTTTTATGAAATTGAATACAACCCCTATGCTTTTTTTTTTTTAACGTTTATAGTAACTTCTCTTGAAGAATCAGAATTTAAAATTTTGAAATAATTAAGAGGAACAAATGTAATATTTAAGGAATATTAATATAATATTTTTCAAATTATCAGAAGAAATTAGTGTAGGAATAGAAACAATAAAGGGGGTGTATGTGCAACTTCACAAAACCTCGTAAGGTGTGTATATAGTTTTCTCTCTATATATAACGTTATATACAAATTCATTTTACACTTTTAATAGAAGAATAATATAATGGTCTTGGCATTTCTCATGTAGTGCCTAAACTTACAAGCACAGGTATTTCAATTTGTGGTATATAATGATCATATACCACACAAAAGTTTTTGAATATAGTTATTTTTAAACAACATTGAAGGTCACAATCCTTACAAAAACAAAAAGGATCCTGAATGTAGTAAAAGCAGACTTACCATCCCAGCGAGTTCAGAGACTTCCAAGGAAAATGCCAAGGCTGCAGCAACAAGGCCAGTAACTATGGTGCTCTTAACAGGAACCTGGCTGCGCTTGTTTATGTCAGAAAAAAACGGTGGCAGCAACCCATCCCTTGCCATAGCCATCAATATTCTTGGCTGAGACATTAAACAAAACACATTCATAATTTTACCTGGCATAGAAAACTTCAATAAAAAGGAATAAAATAAAATAAAAATTTGTGCTATGTGCTACGGGTTATCACGGTATAAATGATAAGAAGAAAATTTATACTTTAATACTACTCTTATATTTCTACCATTAATATGTGTTTGTAGGACCTGACTTCAACATAATAGGAATTGAATTTGAAAGTATCATGTTGACTCTAGGATAAGAATAGATTAGACTTTAAACAAGAGTTTATAGCTTACCTCTTTAAAGTCTGACCTGTTTAATAAAAAATGCTAGATTTAGGTTTTTAAGAAAATCTATTAATATAAAAAGGTCAGATTTAGGTTTATAGAAAAACTTGTTAGATCTAATGAGTCAATTTATTTATTTATATAATATAATAAAAAATTAATATATATATATATTAATTATTAAAATTATAAATATATAAATAAATTTATAAAACAAATATTTTTTTATACAATTATTTTCTTTTCATTATAAATTTATAAACTTACGACTTGTGTATGTGTACACACCAACATACATAATTATATATGAATTGTCCTTTCAACAAAAAAATGATTTAATTTTTCTCTTATATTTCTTTTAAAATTTAAATTTTAATAATATTGAATAAACTATATTTTAAAAATAATTTTGTTGATTTTTAAAAATTAAATTATTGACTTAATTAACATTAATAATTCAAATAGATTAATAAATCAGATTAGGCCCTAAAAAAGTCAGATCAGGCATATAAAAAAGTTTATAATAAATAATAGACTAAACTTAAGCTTTAATTTTATAAATAAGGTATAGTCTATATATTCAAAACCTAACATGATCTATTCTCAACCTTATTTGACTCCGATGTTCAAAGCTTAGTTAACTAAATACAATTTTAAGTCTATCAAATATAATTCTTTTTTTATTAGAGTCCACCCCTAACAATAAACCGGCAGAACAAAATGTGACATATATTTGAAACATTATTATCTTAATTAAATTCACATCTAGCTCTTTTGATACATAACATTTGAAGCATGGGCCAATGTTAATGCTAGGATAATAGTGATACTCAAATTACACGATTTCGAATTAATCCTGCTACTCGTGTACTTAATGCAAGTATCATTGTACTTTTTTGTCTAGACAATTTTATTATAATCGAAATATATACAAATTGAATTTATGATGCATCACGTGAATTCCTCATTTGTTCAACGTAAATGATATGCATGCAGTGTCTTATCAAGCTGTAATTTTGGGTTTCAACAGATAATATTTGTGATAGACCCTCACCTAATTATATGATATTGTAATTCGTGTCAACTAAAGTGTATATTTAAGTTATAACTCACTGATATAGTAAATTTATATTAAAAAATTTAATTTTAATTTAATTTTTAAATAAAAATATTAAAAAATTGATTATAATTAAAATTTATTATAAATAATTTTTTTAAAAAATGTAAATTATATTTTAAATTCATAATAAACTATTTATATTATGACATATAAGATTATTTTTAAATATCAATAACTTCTTCTAAAATATTAAATAATTTAATATAAAAATGAAAAAAATAGGCAAAAAGAGATAAAATATTAAAGAAAATTCGTAAAAACACTTCTATTAAAAAAAATCCATGAAAATGAAGAAAGAAAGCCAAAAATATTGTTTTAATTTTAAGATAGTTATTATAATTTTATATACATAAAATATTTGGAGTATGAAATTTGTTATCCGATTAAATTTTGAGACAATTGCTTTCATTATCTAAATTACTTGCCTATAATACATTTTTTAAATAAAATAATAATTTTAAAGTTATATTAAGGTATAAAAAACATAATTTTAATTTAATTTATTTTTAAATAATTTTTTTTATTAATTTTAAAAATTATTTCCTTGAAAATAATCCATCCCAATATCTAAACAATGATGAATATGTCATGATCAAACGATTCAAGAGGGAGTTTTGCAGGAACAATTAAAAAGGAGAAAAATGAGATGTCAAATTGCTGGCTCAATGGATTTGGAATCTCCCATTTTGAGTGTATCCACATATAATAATAGAGAAGAAAAAACAAACAAGTATAAATGAGATTCAATTCATGAAGCTTCCCCCCACAACAATGACATCATACCTAGTTATCAAACAAGCAACACAACTTCCTAAACATACCCACCAACTAATAAAAACAAACTCAACCACAACCAACATTCACCTCTTTTTTTAATGATTAGATTATTTTGTTTATGATAAATTAAATAAACAATTTAAAATTATACTTTAAAAGTAAGTTTTTTAAAAAATTCAAAACATCCCTATTTTTTAAAAATATATTTAGTTTTCTCCTGATCAAATAAAACTGTGACAAGCTTAATATATTAATTATTGGGTTAATTGTGTTTTTAATCCCTTATTATTTTTTATCAATTTCTATTTTTATTTTTAAAAAAATATTTGACCGACTTTAATCCTTAAAAGATTATTCTGCTCTGCTTTTAATCCCTTATTTTTTGTGAATTCTATTTTTAGTCACTCAAAATATTTGACTACTTTTAATTTACCAAAAATTGCTCCCTTACAACTTAAAGAACTTAATATATAACACAGAGAACATTGAGATTTGAGACTCTTACTTACAGTCTTACCTGAGGCAATATTCCACCCATCAATGATGCGCATAACGCTGTAAAAGCCCCAGCATTTATAACGTATCTGTAATCACAGTTAGTAAAAAGTGACTTTAAAAAACCAATATCATTCAAACATAAATAAATCAACTTTTAATCTCAATTTCTTAAAAATAATACATTTTTTAACACACGTTTATTATCGATTGGTGTCTATTAATTAAAAATATGAAATTGTAATTGAAACTCGTGAGATAAATAATGAAATTTATAAAATTATGAAAGTTTAAATAAATTTCAACTAATAATAAAAAATATATATAAAAGAGAACGTGTTAATAATATTTATCATATTACTATTTATGATAACAAGATAAATCATATTACTATTTAAAACAATCACATTCTTCTGTTTAACAAGCTAAACTTCATGAAAAATCAGAAGCAAGATAATTGCTAACTTACGCTGCCCATTGCATTCCATTGTCAGCAAATGCAGATGATATGGGGGTGTCAGGGTTAATCACATAATAAGGCACTAAACCCACAATAACAATGGAGACCATCATGTACAATCCACAACATAGAAACAATGAAGCACCAATACCCAGTGGCAAATCTCTTTGAGGATTTTTCACCTGTTGATCATAGTAAAACATCGTTAAAAAAAAATAATAACTTAAAAACTCACGGTAATGATGCATAGATAACATTAAATTAATATTAACCTTTTCAATAAAATATTTTCTAGTTTTGTTTTTCTAAGGATTTATTTAGTAAAACTAGCCAAAACTTGAAAGTGTTTGATAAAATAAAACTTGAAAGTGTTTGATAAAATTAATTGATAAAATAATGGGCAAATGTAAAACAATATGGAAAAGACATTTATTCATTTAATAATGAGAATGAGATAATCACAATATAGATAAAAGAGTTTCTAAATTAAAATAATAAACAAATAATTTCAAATAAATTAATGAAAAATAAAAAATAAAAAAATAAACTAGAGCTTGTAATGTATATGCTACTTTACGGTAGTTGACATGGTGTTCTTAGTATTAATTTCTGTTAATATTAAAATAATATTTGACTTACAAAAATTACATCTCACAAGTATAAATTAATTATTATTTGTTAGTTAAAGTGTTATATGGATCATATTTATAAAAAAAAATATTATAAAGTATTTTAATTAGTTTATGAAAAACAATTATAAACTGACAAATGTCATACTAAAAAAAAACTTATGTTGGTCAAACTAAATTATAAACAAGTTAAAGGAATACATAAGCTTTTCAAATGCAATGTGAAACACACTCTAAATAGTACTTTTTAGGATGATAATATTTGTGTTTTATACCTCTTCAGCAGTGCTGGCAACTGCATCAAAACCTATGTATGCGAAAAAGACTGTTGCAGAACCAGCTAGCATGCCATCCACCCCAAAGGGAAAATACCTATCAAACCAAGAGGCATGTATTCATTCAAAAACATTAAGAGACCAAAAGGAAAAGTGGAAGTGCAAAAGCCAAGCAACAATTTATATTTAATAGCATACCCTGTGGGAAGCTTATATCCAACCCATCCAGATTTGAATCCCAAGTAACCACCAGCCACTATCACAAAAATCAATGCACATATGTTCACTGATGTGATTATACTTTGCACCACTGTACTCTGCATACATCAAGCATTGATTGAAATTAGCTCTCAGAAAAATATTTTTTCATATTTGAATAGATTCAAGAAGATAGGGGCAAGGGTCATAACCCAGTTCCAAATGATATATTTTTTCTTTATCCATGTGAATTACGAAGATGACACTAGAATTCAAACTCAACTCTTTACATACTATCCAAACTTTCTACTATTAAAATCAATCATGGTAGTTATTTGCAAAGATGTACACTATAATAAACTAAATTTCACTAATCATAAACAAAGGGTCACAACAACCTATTTACAAAAACGTTACCTCTTTAATCCCAACACATAGAAGCCCAGTAATAATAAATACTATAATTGCTGAACATGGATCAACCACAATGTTAATCCCTGGAATGAGATGACGCGATAAGAAGCTGGGCAAATTTTCCTCTCCTCCGATAAGTGCAGCCTAGTCAGAGAAACACCAACAATTGCTTCACATGATTTTTACTTGTGATTCAAACAAATAAATCTGCTAGATTTACTATATACTAAGTAATGAGAAAACATCCACAGGAATTCTTATCTTCAAAGAAAAATGAAAATAAAAAAACAGGATCATATAATCAACACCCTCTAAGACAAAAAATAACATACCAAATTAGGCGTTATGCCACGAGCAACCGCAGCTCCACCAATTGTGTATTCCAGTATTAAGGCCCAACCAATCAACCAAGCAACTCTGTAATGCAGAGTAAACATTCTCAATCAATCAAAATATACAAAACCTTCAATTGACAATCATGTAACTTTTTTATTTTAGTAAATTAACAGTCACATAAATTAAATGTTGCAATCTCAAACCAAGAGTTTCTTCAATAGAACTAGTTTATAAGTTAGTTAAAATAAGACAGCTAAAAACTTATATGTTTTATGTTAGAAGTTGAAAAACTAGAAACTTATAAGATAATTAATTCAATTAAAAGTATGTGATAAAATTAACTCAACTAATTATGTAAAATAGAATATTTATTTATTTGATGACAAGAGGGAGAATGATATGTAGGTAGAAAAGTTTTTAAATTAAAATGGTAAAAATGGATTTCGAGTATATCAATGAGAAAACAAAAGAAAAAAAAGTAAGAACTTACAAATTATAAGCTACTTCAACTAACTTATAAAAACTAAACTATAGGTTCTTAAAGTACAAACTTATTGTGATTAAATTAACTTATAAATTACTCGAAAAAATTATAATATTCTTAAATATCTTACTAATCATACTTTTTTAAGTGTATGGAAAAACATTTCTTAAAGGAGATTATCTCTTGAATAAATCTCCTTACATGAAATATTTAGCTTCTGACTTTAGGATAGGGAAATAGTCTGGATTCACAAAAAAATGAAACACTAGTCCTAGCCCCTTCATACATGTTCCCAAGATTCTCCCCCAAAAAAAAACCACCACCCCAAACCATCCCTGAATATATATCATTAACTCATAACCCCTCTTCAATCTTCAGTAAGCCAAATCAGCATCAAAATTAGAAGGTTGAATAAAAACAAATAGAAAGTGAAAAGCACTAACTAAGAAGGTGAGTTAATGAAAGGTATACCCTTCTCCAACACAAATGTATGAGTAGTGATATGCACTTCCAGCAGAAGGACAGCGACTAGCCAACTCTGCATAGCAAAGAGCAGAAAGAGCAGCAGCAAATCCAGCCACCACAAAAGAGAGTGGCAAAGCGGGTCCAGTGTGTTCCCGAGCCACCGTTCCAACCAGAACATACACACCAGCACCAATTGTTGCACCAACGCCTGAGTCAAACCACCACAAAATTTTAAATACTCATCAAACACTTTGTGACAAAATATAACAACACATCAATTCAGTTCAACTGGTCACTTATATTCTGTTTTTTTTTTTCTTTCACTTTTGACTCACAAACTGAACAAATTGAAACAGGAAAGCAAGCAACGTGATCCTACTGCCTAGATCTTATTAAAAGAAAATACTCATAACCGAAATTAAAAACAAAAAAAAGAAACAAACACAGAATATTCTGGTACTGTGAAACCAAACTGTTGAAACGTGAAACTAAAACATGAATAGATCCACACCTAGAGGTTCTTAAAAAACTGTCTGCTACTATGATTTCGGCCACAATATTAAGGATTCTGGAGTGTGGCTCTTTTCCAAAGGATCTAGAATAAGTTTTGATATCATGTTAAAAAAGTGATCAAAAGTTAAATTATTGTCTACTTATATAATCTTGCTTGAATTTCTGATGTCGGTGTGAAACTTGGTTTTTCTCAAAGATCATGACTAAACCGGGGTCACAATTTAAAACCGTGTACACATCCATACCCAAAAGAAAAACTTGATTGAAAATGAACTAAAACACAAGGAAAAAAAATGGGAAAAGGAGGGTACAAAAAAATGGAAGAAAAAAGGTTGAAGTACCAATTGCCATGAGATGAGGCACCGTTAACTCCTTTGCAAGTTGGCCTTGAGAGTGGCTCTTAACTGCAGAATCCACCCTTTTCCTTCTGGTTAAAAACCTCCATGAAAAGAGTCCTCCAGTTTTACGACCCTCTTCTGAATCAACCCAAATCCCCATGAAACAAACCTTTTCTTTTTCTCTTGGCTCAACAAGGCACACTATTATATATCTGGGAAATAATGGTTAGTAGCAGAGAAGGCATCTTTGGAATTAGTTAATCAATTAATTTGGGTCAGAGAGATAGAAACAAAAGAAGAAGAAAAAAAAATAAGAAACAGTTGAATTCTCCCTTTCCTTGTGATTGTGGTTTTTATGGGAAGGAGAAGACACATACCCTTGATCAAGGGTAATCCCAGTGGCTACTATTCTCCCTTTCAATTATTCAAAGTTTCTGTTTTTCTTACTCTGCAAATTGTTCTGTGATTTCTCTATGTGCATGCTTCCAAGCATACAAGCATCGCCGTCACACTGCTATGTCCTCCGAATTATCCTCTCAACCACCGAAAATTCTTTCGACATCTGTCAAATGATTTTAATCTAAAAAAATTACTGCCATTTAATTTAACATTTTTAAATGTGCTTCCTTCCCTAATCTACCCTTCCCACTAGATCACACCCCACGTTTGTACCACACGTTCATGGATATATTTGTCTTTCAGCTTATTTTGGATGTATTGCACTAGTTTGATTATTGTTTAGTGAATGATTAAGAATATTCCTCAAAGTATCATGAATTTCACTATACAAGCTAAATCCAATAAGATTCATCAAAACCATAAATTTATCAGAAGTTTTACTAAAGGTCTTCCTTAATTCATTATCAGAACTCCAAATATTTTACCAAAGGTCTTCATCCATATAGTTGTTCCTTGAGCTAAAACTTGTTGCAGAACGTGAAACAACTGCATATAGCAATTGTATGAGCATGTTGTTAGGTACATACTAAAACTCTCAATTGGCCTTTTTTGAGTTTGTCATTAACACGTCAACTTCCCCTCACAAATACTGTTTCAGACTTTCGGGAATAAACTAAGGTCAAAAAGAAAAAAAAAAATTGTGGTGAGGATTTGGCACATCCTTGTTGATAGCAAAACAACAAATGATGACAAACAACTTGAAGTTTTAGCCTCTAAGGGTTTTAGAAAGGTGTCGAATGTTTATTATTCTCATATCCTTATTTGTCTAAAACTAGCAGTCCACTCACGGGAATTTTAAAATGTATGAATTTTATTATCAAATAAAATGCATAATATAATATGGAATATTTGTTGACACTTATAAAAATTATTAAAAATAATAATAATGACAAAACTATAAAAGAAAATATTAACCATTAAAACATTCGAATAATTACATTTGATGTTAACACTGTAATAATAATATATTTACGTATTTATTGTATCGAAATATAAAAAGTTAAGTAAATTTCAATATATTCGTTGATCCACGTTTAAGCAAGGTCAGGAGTTCGAATCTTGCCTTGTGTATGCAGCCACATTAAATCTTGGGGTCAGTTATCCTACCTCACCCTTTAAGGTGTCTCCAACGTAGCGAGAAGATTAATCACTACTATCGACAGTGAATACTCCAGGAATGAAAAAAAAAATAAAAGTCTCAAAACATACACAAAATAAAAGTCAATTTTAAGTAAGATATTAATAAGTTAATATTCACATTTATTATAATATTTAATGACATAAATAAAATCACTCACGGAAATATCATAATAGATGCATATCAGCATATATATTTAAAATTATAATAAAATTAATTTTATTTTTAATCATGACATTAATATGAATTGCTTGTGGTGTTGTAACGGGTTTATCGCCGCCAGATTCGCTACCCCTTAGATATTATATTCACCTGCATCTATAGTCTTGAAAGATCAATTTGCCACGCTCTATGCATGACTGCTGGTTGCGACTAACTAACATAATTTTAAAATATCCCTCGTGCATAACTAACTCCTACACCGTTGCATTCTAGTTACTTTTAAAAAATATATTATATATTTCTTTAGATAAAAAAAATCTTTATCTTTTGCATGTTAAAACAAAATCTTTAGATTTAAAATTCTTTACACAAATTGCTTTACTGATTTAAAAAATATGTTACTCTTTTAAAAAAAATTATAAAAAAAATATATTTACCTTACATATTACAATTTTTAAGTTTTTATTTTAAAATTTTAGTCTAATGTCAGTCAATTCTCTTTCAATTCTAATCCTTCTTGTGATTTTTCTTTTGTGAAGAAAAATCGTAAAATATTAATTTTAAATTTTAATATTTCACAAATGTACAAATTTATTAAAATATTAAATATTATTGATTAATTTATTGGTTTTTTTTTTAAAAAAACTTATCATATAAAAATAAAGAATTTTATCCAACTAGAATCAATGAATACTAAAATTTTGATATCTCGTAAGGTTTTCTATTTTCTTAGCATCAAAAGTAGTTATATTTATTAAAAGTTGTTAGTATAACTTGATACTTGTATTCTTTAATTAAGAATTAGGATTCAATTATTGGTATGGACATAGAGTCATGATTGAAAGATATTATTTTATCCATGTAAGAATTGACTTGATGGGAAGGAGTTGCACTTTCTCATCAAACAACAAAAAGAATTAATTATATCTATTTTCATGAGACATGATATTTTATTAGTCATTCTATGTGATAAATTTTTGTCATCTATAATATATTTTTCTAGTTTCAACGATAATTAAACTCGAAACAATTTAATTAAAAAGACATAAGTTGTTACTTTTTATACTAATCAATTTTGGTAATAAAGTTGCAATATGATAGACTATTATTTTATGGATAAAAATCCATATTATAAATTAAAATGAAGTACCATAGAAAAAAGTTCAACCATTATATATTAAATATGAATAGTTATTTATCTTGTAGGTAAGGATTATTTTTTAACAAGAGAATTTTTAGAAATTCTCTTAAATTCTTATATAATTCAATTTATATTATTTATGAATTAAATTTTAATATTTTAAAATAACTTATTTATCTTAAACCTAAAATATAATTTATATGTTTAAAATATATATTTATATAAAATTTTAATAATATATATATATATAAGAGAAAGAAAAAGTGAAAAAAGAAACATCAAAAACCGAAGAAAATAACACTTAAAATATTCTTGTTTTACAATTTTTTACACTTTTTGTTGTTGAGTTTTTCTTAATTTTACATTTATATTACACATTATCTACATGCAAATTTAACTATCTCAATGATAATGTTAGCAAAAATAAAAGATAACAACACATTAATTTAATATATATATATTATATTGTATTGTATTTGTTTCAACTTTTCATATCTATCAAATCAATCTACATCCTTATTTTTTTAAAATAATATAGAATTTTTATATATAAGTAAGAATATATTAAAAAAATCACTAAGTACCATAAGATATTCGATAATTCAAAGATTTAATAAAGTAAAAACAATCATAAAATTCAATAACTACTATCAAAGAATTTAATTATTCATAAAATTCAAACCGTCATTAAAAAAAAATAATGATAAATGTATGATTTTCAAGATAACTAAAACTAAATGACAGAAAGATTTTAAAACGTCTTATTACTTCAACTACACACTCAATTAGTGGACAAAAATGGAAAAGATATTAAATTTTTGAAAGAAAAAAAAAGAAGAAGATAAAACTGATATAAAAGAGAAACACAAGTTACATACACTTGGAAAGAAAACTATTCAACTCAGACTTCCACAAAAAAAACAGAAACTCTCATCTTTGACTTCGCAAAATGAAAGTTGAAAACTTCTTTAAGGATGGTTTGAGAGATTTAAAGTCTAATATGACCTGACCTATTTTTATCCTAATTAAATGAAACACTAAAAGATTTCCTACTCCATTCTTTTTTTGTTTGAAATCACCAACAAAAAAAATCCGTTAATGTTTTAGGACACTTATAGGTAAGTGTAAAAAAAAAAAATACATTCATTCTGATTACATATTTAAAATCCACTTATTTTGTTGCCATTTTTTTTTGGAAAGGTACTAATTCTAAACGCTTTTACAGTGGACAATCTTTAAAGTAGGTTTCTAATAGGATGTGTAACATTCAGTTACAAACTTATTAAAATATATAGTTATTATAAAATATAAAATATGAGTTCTTATTATACAATGAAAATATATATTAACTATTTCTACTCATATATTATAAAATCTAATCAAAGCAATATAAAAATTCTATCTTATTCTAGATATAAGTATGTGTAAAAATAATCTTTAGATACTATATCTTCTTAATAATGTTTATGATCCTCACAATATTAATAGTGTTGACTTAATTCAATCATTATACTTGATTGATATCTTCACATATATCTATCAAATATATGTACCAAAAAAAAAAAGAAGTAAAAATTTAATAATCTCAACGTATATATATACTAAAGGTAAGGATATTGTCCTAAAACACACAATAATTTATGGAAGAAACTAGAATTAATTTATTCTACTGACCTGCATCTATAGTGTTAAAACAACAATTCGCCCCCACTCTATGCATGACTACTGGTTGCAACTGACATAATTTTAAAATATCCCTCATGCACAACTAATTCATACATCATTGCATTCTAGTTACTTTAAAAAAGACATTATATATTTTTTAGTTAAAAAAATCTTTATCTTTTACATGTTAAAACAAAATCATTAGATTTAAAACCATCAACATACATGTGTGTAAATCAATATACATATATATGATTATGCATGAATTCTCTCTTAAAAAAATATTTACTTTTTTTATATTTATTTTAAAATTAAAATTTTAATAATATTAAGTGAACTATATATATATATATATTACAAATAAATTTGTTAGTATTTTAAAATTAAGTTTAATGACCTAATTAATATTATTAATATAAATAGACTTTTAAATAGACTAATAAATTATATTAGACTTAAAAAATGTCATACCTAGTATATTCTCATCCCTAATTAATTAGATAGAACACTAGAAAATTCTCTACTTTATCTTTTTTACTTGTCTCACATTTTCCAACGGTTTTAAACTGTCAAAAAAATGCACTTCATTCTACATTAAAATAATGCATATTTTATTATTTTAAAATATATTTGAAATTATTTTAAAAACATGGTCTTTTTATAAATTGACAATAATAATCTATATATTTTAGATATTTATAAAATTATTATTTAAAATTGTTACTAATTATATTAATCATTTAAAACTATTAATGACTATATTATGATTAATTATTTTAGCAAGTTGACAAATACCAGTAATCATATATTAATTTCCTTCTAGATGTAAATTTGATTATGTCTAATAGGACATATTTCATGACAAGAGATGCACTGTATAAATGAAAATAATAGGCAAAACAATGGCAATCAAAACTCTAATAAATCCTCTTGTAACAGGGGAAACAAAACTTCCTTGACAAATTGATTCCGAAAATCAAGATTCTAATAAAAGTTATCGATAAATTCTTA